AAATGTGTCTGAGGAAGAACATTTAATTTGATGACTTCTGGTTAAAATAGTCCTTCAGGAACTTCCATTAATTTAAGGGGTTCTTTTTCAATCAGATACTCATTTTTAAGATCGTGGTTCAAGTGGTGACGTATGAAAATGAGAGCTTGTGCCTTCTAGAATCGGTGCTCTGTGACTTAACAATAAAAAGCTTGGCTCAATTCTTTAGATGCCAAATATATTTTAATATCCAGAGCCCAAGCTAAATAATTGATTCATTCATAAGCAAGCTCAATAAATTCACATTTGGCAATGGAAGCCATGATCTACAAGATCATTATTTTCATGCAACTTTATGAAACAATGTGTGACAACATTGGGAAAACCCACTATTTTGAATACATGTTCAAACAATGGAATAAGAAATGCCTTTTTGCATAAATATGCATATATGTATCTTAGTATTCTGATGCAAACATAGAAATCCAATGCAAACATAATAAGAATCAATTATGCATTCAATATCCAAAGTCATAGAACATACATGGATACATATATATACATATGATTTAGCATGTAATACTATTTATTTACCATTTCAAAGCATCATGGCACATATAGCATAAATAAATAGAATTTGTATTTACAAACTCATGTATTTACCCAAATTCTTAACCATGGCTTGATGAGGGATTCATATACTCACAATTAGGTAACGAACATGAAGTATTATCACCCTATTTATCATAAACACACATATACATATAATAAAATCAAATCAAAATGGAGAATACTCGTTTTGCATAAACAAGCATTGGAGGTTCAAATTCATACTCGAAGGCATCTATATAAATGATCATTATCAACAAACAAAGTCATAGATTCTAGAATAAAATGCAAAAGACAAGATACCAAGCATACCGTTCACCAGAAATTACGATAAAGACTCATGCTGATAACGTGTTGTAATTTGGCCTTCTAATTAGCTCAGTCTATCGAGATTGTAGTACGGTAACGCGTGGATTGTATGTATAAACAATATTGCAATATGGAATGGAAGAGAGAAGTAGAGAGAAAAATGAGAACTCAAAATCTAGGAATTTTAAATGTACACTTTATTCATCCTTCAACATATATATATATATATATATATATATATATATATATATATATATATATATATATATATAATGCATACAACCCTTCACTTTCTATAACTAACATATAACATTAATAGAGAAGATGAAGGGATTGAAGAAATAATGACCATTATTATTAATATTTAAAACACAAATAAGTGCCTAAGTGCCTAACATATGATTAATTTAGAAATTAATTATAATCAATTTCAATATTGTAATTTTGTGTGTTTTGGTATTCTACAACGAGTGATCTACTTTCTATACTACAAACAGTGTACAAACAGTGTGCAGATGAATCTAGAAAATCTAATTGGTAAATCAAGCAGATAGATCGACAGATATGATAATAGTGCGGAAACTAAAGGCAGAAAGTAAATCAACACAATGAATTGTTTACCCACTTCTATACGATGTGTATCTATGTCTGGGGACGATCATTGATTCATCCAATCCCCTATCTCTAAATTCCAATAGTCAAAGGTAGAGAAACGATCTCACCCAAAGTGTCCACACCCGGTCAATACCCAATCTACAATGGAATAGTGGATTGTTGAAGTCGGAGAGCCATGCAACCAGATGTCCAAGAATCCCTTCGTTGGAGAGCTATTCTGTTGCAGTCCGCTTCACTGACGTATCCCACACTGTTCCCACAGTTAGATGATCTTTGCGTCAACTGATTAAGCATATAGGATTCTTCTCAAGTTCATTGTCGTAAGCTTCAGAACTATAAGTCTTGAGAAGAGATAAAACCAGAGTTGTATTCTTTTGAATGACGGGAGAGAATGTTAGTGATTCAAGCGTGTTGTATGTAGTATGTGTAACCTTTCTTGAATCAGCTCCCATGGCATATATAACTCTAATTGATGATGGGAAGACACGTAATCATGAACTTGAATTCCACATAAGACGGATTACGGTCTTACCCTTGAGGTGATCAACTGATGGTCGAATTTCTTTTAATCACACCTCTTGAAGTAACTACATCTGTCAGCTCATCAAGGTTCTCATAAATGATCTCCAACGGATTAATTTCTGAGACGCTCTGCCTCAGTTGTCTCTCTGTGTTATATAATATATATATATATATATATATATATATATATATATATATATATATATATATATATATATATATATATATGCGGTCATCATCTGCCATGCGGTCGAGTGGCCTAATCTGCATCGTTCGATCATTTGCATCCAAAGGCACATGACAATCTCAATGCACCATATATCACTTGAAAATGTACCACACAACACTCAGAAATGCACCATAGAACACTAAAAAATGCACCGCACACTAGTACATAATAGATCTCGTTGACGGTTCTATTGAACTCGTCGACGAGTTTGACACCCCGTGGAGTGGTGTAATACAAATCAATGCACCATTAATCATTCAAAAATTTACCACAGAGCACTCAAATATGCACCACATACTAGCACCCGATAACGGGTCTATTGAACCCGTCGACAGGTCAACACCCTCGTTGAGTGATGTAATACAAATAAATGTACCATTAATCACTCAAATATGCACCATAGAGCACTCAAAATTGTGGACTGTCTTATTCTTTGGGTGGTGCGGAATTTGTATTATTGTATAATGTTGCTCTATATGATAGTACTCCATTCTCTTCTATTGCTGCTATTTCCAAGATTAAAAAGGAAACTTTTTTGGTTTCAATTCTTTGGTTCATCGTGTTCGTATAAATGGTTTGTTGGACCAATTCTTGGTTTCTGAGGGGATTATTGCTACGTTTGCCTCTCCTCCGAGGCGCATGGTGACTTGGATTAAGTGGCATAAATCACTTTCAGGACATCTCAAGTTAAACACTGATGTGTTATTTTTCATAAATGGAATGGCAGGTGGGGCATGTTTGAGGAATTCGGCAGGCTTTTTCATTGCGGGATTATCTTTTCCGTTGTTTGCCTTCTCGGTACTCGAGGTGGAGGTATTGGCATTTGATTTTGCCTTGTGTTGGTGTGATATGGCATCTACTACGACAGGTTGAAGTTGATTATCTTGCACTGGTTCGGTATGTTACCTCGTCCACAATATTGGTCTCGTGGAGAGTTCATGGTGTGCTTAGTCGGATCCATTCACAGTTGGTTTTTTGTTCTTCATCAATTGTTCATAGAATTAAACTCCCTAAATAAAATACCCTTCTCAAGGTGCAACAATTAGGTGCAATTGTGTGTGCCCAAAGTTATACCCAACTCTCGTTGTGACACAAACAAAGCAAACGAAACAAGTAACTATGGCCACTAATTACAAGCATCAAACAATATTATCACAATTGCAACACAAGTATTAAACCCAAATAATAATATATTAAAAAAACAGAGAGCTCAGGCACATAGGTTCATAAACACTTTTATCCAAGAATCTCTAAAGAATTTAGCCAAGCATGGCTAAATTATACATAGCAAATAATAATAAAAGTAATACAAATTATCAAAAGAGTACAAGAATGAAACAGACGATTCTCTCGAATCTCCCTAGCTTAGTCTTCTTCTTGCTCCCCAAGATAAATTGTGGGTCTTGATTTCTCTTTTTTTTTTTTTTTTTTGTCTCCAAAGATCTCTGAGTTCTGAATTATCAATTCTAAATTATGTCCATTAGGGTTGAGGAAGGTGGGATTTTATAGTAGGTACAAAGCTAGGGCGAAATAGGAATTTCCTATTTAATTTATTTTGGAAATTGTTGAAATTTGGGAATTTGCTATCTTTAATATAAATTTGGAAGTTTAGCTTTGGAATGATAAGGCATTTATTGTAGCCATCTTGCTTTGGAATCACTACTACAAAAAAGGGCTTTAACCTCGATTTTTTGACCCCATTTAACGTCGGTTTTCGACCGACGTCTAGGTAGCAGACGTCGTAAATAATGAGATACGACATCGGTTAAAAAACCGACGTCGTATAATTTTTAAATTTTTAATATTAACATACGACGTCGGTTCGTAAATTTTTTAAAATTATTTTTAATAAAGAAACGACGTCGGTTTTTTAGTAAAACCGATGTCGTATATTTAAAAAAAAAACAAAATAAATTCACATAAGGCGTCGGTTTTAATGAAAAGACCGACGTCTTTTGTTAACTTTAAAAAATAAAAAAATAAACGACGTCAGTTATTTATCGTTTATTTTTTTATTTTTTTAAAACAATTTTCCACCCAATTATTCCTGTACAGCTTTTACAATTCACAACAATTTTCTTAACCTGCCCAACAATTTGATATTCAAAATCTTACAATTAATCAAAACTAATAAATCTTACAATTAATCAAAACTAATAAATCTTACAATTAATTCAAAAGCAACTCATACGATCAACTAAACAAGTTAAATTTATGGTAATTCTACAATTTATAATATTGATAATAATAATAATGTTTTACCTGTTCAATGAAATAAACCACTAACTCCTCAACAAGTCTTAAGCATCAAAATATTTGCTCCAACCTATTAAATGTTTAGAGAATGAAATTAAAATTAATATGTGTGTGTGCTTACTCCATTTTACATGATCTGGTGTGTGATTCCAGATCTTCTCATTTCACCGAACAAGTTGATGGCTTTGAAGCACTCGCTATGGGATCCATAACCTGCAATTATAGAATTTAAAGAAAAAACTCAACTAACATAAAGATAAAACATGTGCATAAACTAAAAATCCACATAAAGAAACAAGATCCAATTAAAAGTGATGATAGGCTCTAATATTCAGATTGATCTAGGAGATCAATTCTGTTAAGAAAAATATTTTTTAGCTTTGGATTCTCTCTCCATGAACAGTATCACCATAGACAATGTATATTAATAAAAAGAATTAGTGAATATAGATATATAAGAGAAATTACAGAAAGAGTTTACCTAATTCGTGGTACCAAAGCTCTTGTTGGCTGTTGCATCTAAGAAATCTTGCAATTGAACAACACTTTTAAGTTTTGTCTGCAAAAGAATAAAAATCATGCTTGGACAACATTGAGAATGAACAAACAAAATATGTAGAAAAATGAAGAGCAGAAAATACCTCAAATCTGGGTCTTCCCCCATTGTATTTTAACATCAAATTCAACAGCTTTTCCTCAGTAACTTTCAACTTTACTTTCTGTTTCGGAGTTCTATCACCACTGGACCAATTCAGAACAGTATATACTATGTAAGCTAACAAACAACATTTTCCTAGGAATAGCAAACTAAGAAACAGTATAATTACAACAATTACACAGCGTAGCTCTTCAGATTGCCCAAACGTGCCAATGAGCCCACTTCTTTGGCGTGTTAGGACCTCAGAAGGCTGAACTGGTTCATTGACCTTCCATGGTAAAGTTGGAGGAATATAGTTGAGGAAAGATGTTCCTCAACACGCAAGCAGCATCATCATAGTATATGCAGTCAATACTTGAGCTCTAAGCTTAGTGAACTAAAATGTAAAATCACAGACTATATGACATTAATCAGTTAATGTCAATATAACATCCACCTACAAATTCAAAGTTGATACAGCACATATATAGGTTAGCAGTTCCACACCTCATCAGCAGTTTCAATGTTTCACAGTTACACAAGAGATGATCAAATGCAATGATCCAATTGATTACAAAAGCTCTGATTAAATAGCAAAATCTTATACGACTGTGCATATAACATATCTCACCTGAGTGCTCCGCGATTGACCTCAAATTTGCGTTGTCTCTTTCAAAATTTAAGGCAATAATTCCAATTATACTGCATCCAGATGAAAATCGAATACGAAAACCCGCATATAAAAATGCAAATAATCACAAAAATAGCAAACGCTGGTCTATTCTTGCGCACAAAACATGAATTATGAGTTTTAGAAAAAATGCAAAAGTATAGCGAAATAAGCATTTTAGACAACGAATACCTCCGATTTGAAAACGGCGTCAGGCGGCGAGGGAGTGAGCGGCGTCCGGCGTACGGCGGCAAGGCAGCGACGGCTTGCGGCGGCGTCGACGTGAGGAGAGCAGTGGCGGCTTGCGACGACGTGCGGAGAGCAGTGGAGGTCGCGTCGACGTCGGCTGCTGCAGTTCGACGGTGGCGACGGTGGCGTGAAGGTTGCGATGGTGGCGTGCGGAGAGTAGTGGAAGGTTGAGGACGGTGGCGTGCGGAGAGTAGTGGAAGGTTGAGGACGGTGGCGAGGCGTGAAGGCTGCTGAGGTTTTTGTTTTTGAGGCGTCGACAATCTGAACTGTCGCGGTTCGATTAGGGTATAGGAGAATCTTGAGTATACGGCGTCGGCTATATACGTAGCTGACGCCGTATACTATATTTATTATTTTTTTTTATTATTATTCTTTTTATTTGAGTTACGGCGTCGGCTATATACGTAGCCGACGTCGTATACTATATTTATTATTATTTTTATTTGAGTTACGGCGTCGGCTAATTAATTAGCCGACGTCGTATCCCATATTTATTTATATTTTTTTTTTATTCGAGTATACGGCATCGGCTATTTACTTAGCCGACGTCGTATACTATATTTATTTGTTTATTTATTTTTTATTTAAGTTACGACGTCGGCTAATTAATTAGCCGACGTCGTATCCCATATTTATTTATTTTTTTATTTTTTTATTCGAGTTATGGCGTCGGCTAATTAAATAACCGACGTCATATGTATTTTTTAAAAATAAAAAATAATTTTAAATATTTAACGTCGGATTTTCTAAAAACCGACGTTATAATGGTGACTTTAAATCCTTTTTCTTTAGTAGTGAATATTGCCATTTTAAATTAGGAAGTTTCTAAAAATCGCGCCCAGTTCAATAGGTATGGTTTGCAATGATAGTTTGACCATTTTCTTTATTATCTAGACTTTGATGTACTCATAAGAGTTGTATACCTTCGAGTCTTCTTTCCAATGGCACAAGAATCACCTCAATCAGACATTCCGATCATGAGATATGATCAAAATACTAAACTATCGCATATCTGTGCGAGATGAAATGTTACTGGAAGTTTTCGACGTGTCGAGCCTGGGTCTTGACCCGTCGAATTTTCTGCTAAGTAATAGGTTGTAGCCCATCGAGTCTTCTTTCCAATGGCGCAAAAATCACCTGAATCGGACATTTCTAGCATGAGATATGATCAAAATGCTAAGCTGTCGCCGAATTCAACGGGAATTACAACTCTTCGGTCTTTTGATCCACTTTTCCCTTGTTTGATTCTTGTGATCAAATCCATTGAAAGTACCACTCTTTGACTCTCTTTGAACCATTTTAGCCACCTCCTTAGCGTCACCTTGACTTTGTTTTGGCTCCAAACTCGTCCTAGAACTTCCCTTGCTTTTAAATTTGACCTAAAATGGTTCAAAAACACTAACAAACACCGTAAAACATTCAAAACAAGTGTGAACCATAATTAAATGATAAAATAAAGGATTACGCCAATAAATTACCAAAATCATGAACTAAAGCCTAACAAATATAATCAAATCAATGCTAAAAATGTGCACAATTGGACGCACATCAAAATATATATATATATATATATATATATATATATATATATATATATATATATATATATATATATATATATATATATATGCGCTCATATGCGGTCATCATCTGCCATGCGGTCGAGTGGCCTAATCTGCATCGTTCGATCATTTGCATCCAAAGGCACGTGACATTCTCAATGCACCATATATCACTTGAAAATGTACCACACAACACTCAAAAATGCACCATATAACCCTAAAAAATGCACCACACACTAGTACATAATACACCTCGTTAACGGTTCTATTGAACCCGTCAACGAGTTTGACACCCCGTTGAGTGGTGTAATACAAATCAATGAACCATTAATCATTCAAAAATTTACCACAGAGCACTCAAATATGCACCACACACTAGCACCCGATAACGGGTCTATTGAACCTACGATTCTAATATATCCGCATGACTACATGGGAGACTAAGGCCGCACCTGAACTCTACTACACACACACACACACATATATATATATATCTCTGTGTGTGTGTGTGTGTGTGTGTGTGTGTGTGTGTGTGTGTTTGTTTGTTTATATGGCTGCAGTTCAGCAGGAATGTTCGGCGCCGTATGTTGCAAATTTATGAGCTTGTCGATGATCATATTTGTGAGTTGGCAGTGAAACTATTTGGACGTCGTCTACAATGGGTGATTTTACGTTGGCATCAGCATAGAATATGCTTAGACCAAGGATGGGTTCAACTCTCTCTTCTAAATGTATTTGGGCGCCAGGTATCTTTACTAAGTGCTCAATATTTATGTGGAAGCTTCTCCAGATCAGAGGTAGTTGCCATTCCTAGACTGCCTAGAGAGGTTTGAGATTTGGCCGAAGAAAGAAGACGGCCATGACAGTTTTCTAGATCTGGACGAGGGCTACGGCCTTCGCCACCGCCCTCGTTCCAGACGGAGGGGACTGGAATGAAGGCAGCGGCGAAGGTCGTAGCCCTCGTCCAGATCTAGAAGAAGGCCATAGCCAGACGGCCACGACTGTCCTTGAAGAAGGAAGATAGCACTGTTTTTTGTTTTTTATTATTAATTTTTTAAAATTTTTTTTAATTATTATTATTTTAATTAATTTATAATTTATAATAAATATTATTTTTAATTAAAAATAAAATAAGGACACGTGTCAACACCGTATGCATTTAACCTGATAAACAAGTCAATTTGGGCTTAATTGAACAATTTTACAGGTTTAGGGGACCTGAATGTAGATTTTTTCACTTAGGGGACCCAATTACACTATCCACTCGACTTAGGGGGCAAATTTGACACTTTTTCCTATTGTATAATGCTGCTATGTATGATAGTACTCCATTCTCTTCTATTGCTGCTATTTCCAAGATTAAAAAAAGAAACTTTTTTGGTTTCAATTCTTTGGTTCATCGTGTTTGTATAAATGGTGTGTTGGATCAATTCTTGGTTTCTGAGGGAATTATTGCTACATTTGCCTCTCCTCCAAGGCGCATGGTGACTTGGATTAAGTGGCATGCATAAATCACTTTCAGGACGTCTCAAGTTAAACATTGATGCGTTATTTTTCATAAATGGAGTGGCAGGTGGGGCATGTTTGAGGAACTTGGCAGGCTTTTTCATTGCGGGATTATCTTTTCCGTTGCTTGCCTTCTCGGTACTCAAGCTGGAGGTATTGGCATTTGATTTTGCCTTGTGTTGGTGTGATATGGCATCTACTAGGACAGGTTGAAGTTGATTCTCTTGCACTAGTTCGGTATGTTACCTCGTCCACAATATTGGTCCCGTGGAGAGTTCATGGTGTGCATAGTCAGATCCATTCGTAGTTGGTTTTTTGGTTGTCATCAATTGTTCATATTTATTGTGAAGCAAACCGTGTCACGGATCAAATACTTTAACTTCATAGGGTTTGCCTTGCTCATCAGTAGCGCTTCTATGTTTTCTTCGTTTAACTTGTTACCAGAAACTATTAAATTGATCCTTTTCTATGATTTCTGAGACTTTACCCTCAGAGATTTATTCATTCATAATAAATCTTATACTTTACTTAAAAAAACAAAAAATCATTTTTTGAACTTTGTCATTTAAGTACTTGCTCTATGCATCGAAGAACATACACCATATCCTGAGGTATCACAATTATCAAGATCTTCTCTTTCATCTCCATTACTTCAAGTAGTTTCCTCTTGTGGTCCAATTTTTTTATCAAAGGATAAATTAATAAATTTAGGTAGTTTTTCTCCAAACCATAGGCTAGCTTATTGATAAATTAAATTCACTAATTATATTAATTTTAATCTTGGACTGTAAAATATATTAAATAATAATATATCTATATAAGATATATATATTATATATAATATATCTATACGTTTATATATATATATAATTGAGAAGAGAGAGGGAGGAATTGAATAGCTAATGTTTATTGCATTTGATGATTAAAAAGGTTAATGACAAGCCTATTTATAGTGAATACAAAACTAGTAAAGCATAAATATAGGAAATGCTCCATGTATTGTAAAGTTGTTGAGATATTTGATGATATTAATCATCTAATTTAATTTTCATGTGTCTCTTGGGTTTTCCATATGTCTCTTGGGTTTCCCATGTGTCTCTTGGGTTTTCCATGTGTCTCTTTATTTTCTTTGTATTCATTCTTCATCATCTTGTTGGCACTATAAATAGAGTGCTTGTATTGAGGTTTAGACAAGAGACAATATATAATCAATTCTCCATTTTCTTCTTATTTGTATTCTACATGGTATCAGTCGCTAAGGTTTATACCTGCGTATAAACTCATCCATGGCCGACGACAACCAGCTGCTGGCGCAGCCTCCCCAACCTCAACCCAAAATTGAACCAAACTCTTCCTTTTACCTTGGTCCTGAAGATCGACCGGGTGATTTCATAACCCCGACACGTTTGACCGGAAACAACTATGATGATTGGGCTGCTGA